TTTGAGGATTCAGATCGGTTGCCACTGGTAGATTTTCTTTGGTCTCTGTGGGGTTGTGAGTGCTACGACAATTTAGCTTGAGGTGGGGGGGGGGAGGTCAAGTGGAATTCAGATGATGACTACTCTCCCTTCTGATGGCCGCACATCAGCACTTGTCAGCTCGACTGATCCAAAACCGTTCTCCACATGCTTGCCAGTTCCACGCCTTCTGTTCTGTCAACACCGGGATGCTTAACGATTTCTACCGCCTCGACTATCAGTCTTTGTGACGTAGACCGTAGTCCTCGCCTCCAAATTTCACCATTTTCTGAATCTTTTTTTGTCCCGTGTCCAGTGCGTGTTCCGCGATTCAGTACCGCTCGATATTCATCCGCGTTTCTCGGCCGCCTGTTTATTTCTCTACTTTGCTCTCCGCTTCTGGTGTGAAGTTTCCTGGCCGTCTGTCCTATATAGACCTTAGTGCATTCGTTACAATTAATTTTGTAGACACAGTCCCCGGTTCTGTTTGCTGGGAGGCGAGCCTTCAATTGCACCAGTGCAGAGCGCAGGGTGTTCCCCTTCTGGAAAGCTACACTTATGTTGGCCGTGTTTAGAAGTTTGTTCCTAGCCATGAACCCGCGATCAGTGCAATTTGCACTTCAAGTACGAAAGGCTGTTTTGAGGTTTATCCCACTAGACTACTGTCTGAACTGTCATGCACCCGCTGCGAAAAGCACAAAATGGATAGGTTAGTGTAAATGTTAGCTTTGCAGTAAGGCCACAATTTCGCTCATTATGAAAACGGCCGTTACGTAGTTTGTTCTAATGGCGTACCGTTTGACGTTGCCCGTGGTTCAAAGTGCATTCAGAGGCAGGACTGACGGAAATTGTGATAGCCAAATGAATTAGATTATGTCAATAAATCGGCATTGACTAATTACACTTGAACTATCTGGAAACCCACTTATATTTTTTCATCATATGTGGACAAGAGTTGGTAAATTTTACGATAACATTACAAAGATTGGAACGTTTTTCTACAAACAGTCAAGATTCTGTTTTGGTAAGGACAGAATTCAGAATCTGAGAACACCCTATTGAGATTTGTCAGTTGAACAAAGAAGGATAGATGACAGGGGATTTTTGGATATCACGTTGTTTTTATATCTCCCCCAGGTCTTTCAGAGGAAATGCTTAGTTCCCTTTTTATTTATTTTTATTCATTTCACAGAGCTTCCTTCTGCGACACCAAAAATTATCGGCACTGTGAGGAACTACACGTTTACCAGCGACGCGAGCGCTTCACTCACTGCCCAGATTCAATGTGCCTGTGATGAGCCTGTAATACAGGTATGCATCTAGGGTGTTAGACAACAGATGTTTAGCAGGCCTTCAACCACGGATGTACTGTTCTCGACCTGTTCCGCGTAGTTCTCAGTGTGAATAAGTTGTCAGGCATTTGTCTGTTTGTTGGGTTTTCGTATCCAGAAAGTGCCTTCCGCTTAATCAGTTTTACTGTGGTTCATATCCTCAACACTCGATGGGTTTTCACTCGAATCATATCTACTTCCTACTGCGAACGGCGCCCTGGTGTTTATTTGTGTGCAGTGAAAGTGCTTTGTTTGAAAAACACAGTGTAATTAGTAGTAAATGTTGAATTGTCATTGGATTATTGTTATTACTAAAGTAATGCATTTGCCCGACCCTCTGAGTAGTGCGTGCCGTCGAGACAATGTACAGCAATGTCCGGAATATCGACCCACCTGAAACATCAGGTGCCTTTTTGAACAACCATTCATCATCACTGACGGGCGATTTAGCTCAGATTTAGCTCAGATATTGAATTGGGCATCCAAGTCGAATTTCCTTGACAGAAGGCCTCGTTCATATTGCTTCCGAAAACTCGTGGACAACCTACTAAAGGTTTTGTTTTTCTTGGGGGTTCATTAGGTAGGCTCAGTCCCAGAGTTTCCCTCAACTTTGTGTTGCGCCTGAACACAAATAGCGCGAAATGCGCCAAGTAAACTCATTTGCGCATGAGGACGATTTTGATGGGTGATTCCCTTTTTAACCGAATGCGCTGCACAAAGGCCACCTCATGTTTCAGTTTGTACGTTATTCGAGACATTGAGACCCTGAGAGAACACACTACTCAGTATTCATTATTACCTAATTATTCATTAGAAAATAACTAAAACAGACAAAATATTGCAGAGTGTACATCGTACAACTAAGAGACTTTCGAAACCGGCTGAAATAAACGATGGTTCGGGCGTTCAATTTCGAGAGATTGAACTACGTTTGAACGTTAAGTTGCGAAATTCGCTTGCTGGGTCTGAGGTTATGGAACCTGCCAAATCAGCTACTGGAACTTCTGGTTAGAAAACGCTACTCACACTACTTTGTTGTACAAATCAATGTAAACTTTTTTACCTTCATCGCAGATTTTCGACATCACTTTTACTTGGGCCACATACTACTCAAAATTCGCCCTCCAGAGGCTTGCAAGTGTCTATTATACGGTTAGAATACATCCGAAAGTGGAATGGGTATATCTGGCGTCTGATCGTCACCGTTCACCATAGGCTTTGGAACTTGCCTTTTTATAGTACTAGATACTTTCAGACAAAAGTCACATAGGCTCTGACAATGGGTTGGTTACAAAGAACTCCTTGGAACCGGACAATATGTTTGATGTAACATGCAGCTCATCATGACGTGAGTGCAACTGAAGCACGTTTAGTCCCCCCGTCGAGCAGAATTGGCTGCTTGGGTAAATGGGTTACCAGTTATATCGGAATGAGGCTAAAACAAGGACAGTGGTAAAATACTGGACAGACCTCCTCATGTTTCATTTGGTGCGATATTTGAGGAACCGTAGTACACTGTCTATATGTAACACACTACTAATAAGTTTGCTGAAAACTCTTGCAGGGGTTCTCAGCAACCCTATTAGAACTGCGTTGTGCCTAAGAATTAGAGTGCTTCTACTCACCTGCTTGAGTTGGTAATCTGCTGCCCATCATGTTTCCCAAAGAAACCTTCCATAGATCTCCGAGAGATCTATGAAAATTTATGCTAACGTGAAACGCGGTCCTGGAAACTCAGACTGACCAAAGATAGAAAGGGGTTGTGATGTGTAAGACCAATAGCATACGATCAGGACATACAAAATTCCATCAGTGACCGGACAGTACCCATATCTCATTACGTAACATATGAAACTTATTTCCTCATTTGCATTCCATCGGAAACGAACAATGCCTTTCACAGCAAAACACCGTTAATCTTCTGACGGTCTATGGAAACCAAGGACCACCACAAAAACAGGCATTGAGACAAAAAACACGTGTGGAATGAATTGGAGCCCCTAGCCCTTCTGAAGGGTGTTGTCCAAAATAAGCTGTCGAAAACGATTGCTTCGCCTCAAACTTGTGAACTTGAATTCTCCACTTGATCCATCATGCAGACAGACTGATATATGGTATCTGTCAGTTCCATCCAAAACATGTTTTTAACCCATATTCTGTGTACTTGAGCTTCGGGTCTTTTCGGGGTTTACTGAATTCCCCATAATCTGCATCAGTGTAGTTTTTAGGCTTTATGGTTTGCAAACAGTGTACATACTTGGCTGGCTTGTATTCGATATATGTCGAACGCCATGCTGTAAACCGGATGTAGTCCATCAGCTTTGTGATACCTACCTTCGTTCAAATGGGAGAACTTTTATTCAAGTCGTTAGGGCCACGACATTCCTGATTTGTGCTCTACATTCTCGGCCATGATCAAACAGCAAAATCACCACCGTATCCTAAATGAACAAAACAAACTGCTGAAAGCCTTCAAAAGCAAAAAGTGCCAACGGAATTGATATTAGTCTTAAATTTGGCGATGACTACTAAATCAATGCACAAGCCTGTAAGAATGACTGATGTTTACTCAGCACACGTATCACTCACAATACACGCACAGCGGTGGTAGTTTTCATTGACCGGATCACGTGCTTCCCATCGAGCGAATATTCAATTGCATCTTTGAATGAAACTCGGAAAATTTTCAGGTTGACTTTCCAGTTAGTCACTAACCAAAGTGGCAAAGTTTTGCATCCAAAGGACTTTCAAAATATCACAGACCCGTCGGTCAGTTGGTTGCCCAATTTATTTTCAGCCTATCCACTTTGGAATACGGAACTTGAGAAAACATGTTAGTCCTAACATAGTTTATAATGCCAGTTCACTGCCCTCCACGCCTCCTTATCTTTTTTTCAGTGGCTGAAACGTGTAGAACCCGGGGAAGAATCAACTTACGAACAAAACGGAGCAAGGAAAATCCCACTGCCCAATGCCAGAGAAGCTGAAAGGAACGAAGTGTTTGTGATACTTGGATCTTGGCCTGGTTCCCCAGCGGTAGTGGAGAAAACGATATCCCAGGCAATCGACCCAGCCAGCTCCGGAATCTCGCGATCCCCGGATACCACGGGGCAGCATGATAGTTCACCGTATTACAACACGAAGCCACACGCAAAGATACCACCTGAGCAAGTTTTCACCACAAAGCTAAATTTTCAAAAGCCTCTTGACAAAGAAAAACAAGCAGGAAAGTACATTGTCATGACCATGAGTTTGTCAGACGTAAAAAGCATGGAGTACGCCGTGATTTACGTCGACATTGTTCAAGGCAAGTACGATGATTTCTTTTTTAACTAGGCTACTGAGTAACTGATTAGTAGCTTCTAATTATTTCAAATATATTGACCGACGGCTACATTGCGTGAAATTGGCATACCAAAATCTGCTTGATAATGTGTCCTGCCACACAGTCAAGTTTTGAAAAGCAAACAGTGAGAGGGCAGAGAAGCATGGTATCGTTAGTCTCACCCTTGCCGGACATTAGAGTATTTGAGTTGTTCAAGACCAGAATTTTGTATTTTTTTCGGGAGTAGATGAGTCAAATAAATTTCTTGCAATCGTATTTTCACTGTGTGGCAACCATTCCTTATCTATGTTACTCACCTCTCACAGATCCGGGATTCCTGAAAGGAAGGCGAGTGCTATTCTATTTTCTCATCCCGTTTGGACTGCTGTTCATCATTTTGGGTCTCGTCGCCTATGTGTTCTTCTGCCGTCGCAAAGGCTCGACTAGAAACTCCCTATCTTCGAGCAATGAACGTTGTATCTTGAGAACCACTGACCTCAGCTCACAAGCTTACCACGTAATGCTGAATGGCAAGAAGACCTCCAGCCTTCAAACATCGTCCAGGCATTCGTCCAATAGTCAGGTGACTGGCAGACAGCCGTATGCACTTTTAGGTATACAGTCTCCTTTGTTGCAAAGTGAAATAAGGCCAGCGGCAGCAACAAACGGAATAGGGCAGCACAATTCTTTGAGCGAAGCGTCCACACGTCCAGCGTATTATGCGGTCGGCGCACCTCAGGGGCAAACGACTGTTACACCTCTTATTGGCATGCCCAATACGACTAATCAAAATTCGAATAGTGATTTCAATAACGCCGGGAACAATGCATACTTTCCTGTGTCGCATACATCAACCCAAAGAAATCTGCCTTATCCACCAACAGTTCCGGTGACAATGTTCGGTGGGATGGTGGAACAGCAACAGTTTTTCATGACCCCTTCCGGACCAGTTGCTTCCAATTCCTCTGGGTACGAAGGATCCAACGGACAGTTTCATCACTTCCAACCTGTACCCTCTTTCTCCTCGTCCTCATCCAATCAACGAATGAACGTTCCAATTGCACCATCAATTGCCACAGAAATTTCTTTCGATCAATATTCTGCCGTTAGTCAAGGTCAATTATCTTCCGGTACACTAACCAATCATTACACTGCTCCATTCAACGATTACTCTCGGGGGCATGGTCCCGAAATGACAGATAATACGGGCAACATGCAACACAACTTTCCGAGAGCATAGAATAAAGTTGGAAAGACAATCTTTTACGTACTAAATGGAACTCAAGCCTGGGTAAAACTTGACGGACCACAGCAAATCAAACGACGCAAAAGATTATATAACCACATCTCAGGCTTAAGCTGTGAATAATGACTTCACCCGCGGTCCACTGCAATGCGTTGCCTCCTTCGAATTATCGCGAACCGTCACTGATATTTTCCCGACATATCTACCCAACTCCTCACCGAATCCCGACCATATGCTGCGACTTACTTCACGACCCAGGACCCATTGATTTGCATTTGAAATTGTCTACAGGGTGTTTTTTGCTGCATTTATCTCCGTGATCTTGTAAAGTTGAACACGGTTACCATGTTTCGATAGACCATTATTTTCTCTTGTTCATCGTCCCCCCTTAATCCGTACAAAACCTTGGAGAATTGCGATGACGGTTGCTACGCAACCGGCGCTACTTCCCAGTCTTGTATGCTTCATCCCTTTTGCAACACCTGCTATAAGTGCTCACAGATGTACAAAGAGTATTACCGTAATGGCACAACAATAAAAGCAGAATTTCTAAAATAGAGACTTAGTGTTTCGAATGAGACGAACCAAAGTGAGAGTTTGGGAGATGTGATAACTACATTTTTATCGAAACAAATCATAAAATCCTAAAACAAATGGGATGGGGGCAACATGAGCGATTCCATGGAGTTGGTTTTGAATTCTCTTCATGCTAACGCAGAGCAGAAGTTGGAAGGAAAATCGAATCGTTCAGCTGTAGCACCCATTCGGTGCCTAACTGCCACGCCACCCGAGGGTTGAAAGAGGGCCAGGATACTGCCAGGTTGCCCAAGCCTAGACAGGGGAAGTCGAGTGGCGGAGGTCGTATTCGAACCACGGACCTTATGGTCAGTAAATTCGCGCTCTAACCACTTGGGCCATCTCGCACACCCCGAAGTGGGAAGGGTCAGTAGGTGAATATGTAACTGGGCGGTAAAGACATCGCTACCGACGCACACAACATGACTGTGACAACCAACCGATGGGGATCAGAAGGCTGGTTCTAAAACAAGCTGTGTCCGGTACAACACAAGTGCCAGCACGCAGTCTGTAGCTGTGAGTTGTAGCGGTTTGAACGATTGTGAAGGACACTCAGAACAGGGTAAAGGAGGAACGGATGACAGAATAATTCCTTGAAGGCTGTGAGATTATAACGGGGATTGAGGTGACCGTTTCTAACAGACATTTACCAGTGAGGTTGAGACGGCTCAGCGATTAGGGTCTGTGGTTCGACCCCAAACTCAGCATTTCGATTTATCTTGTGTAGGGTTGGTCAACCTGGCTGAATCTCAGCCCTTGTTCTCTCTTCTGACCGACTGGCAGCCAGACATTAAAAGGGAGCTAGAGCTGAACGATTAGTATTTATTATTCGTAATTTAATAACGAATATAAACGAATAGACAGAATGGACTATATACAAAAAGCATTCAAAAGACACGTACCGCACTTCGACTTGCCACAGTGCAAAGTACAAACCATACCACGTACCGCCTCATTCCAAGGCGCTACTGTGCTACAGTATGAAACAAAGAAAAACCGGTCAATAAATCGCCACAGGCATACTGAAACGACCTTAGGCATGTGGTGAGCAAAGCGAAGTTGGACAAAATTGACCTTGTTCACGTGGTTCGTGACCAATGGACTGAAATCGCATCCTGATAGGTCGTGTTCGACTTCAAACCAAACCGACTTTCGCCTGATAATAACAGTTACCCGTGACGAAGACGGACGTAACTAGCTGGGGGTCGACAAACAGAGACTCGGTATCGATGACTGCAAGGTACAATCGTCTATCTCACCATTAAGTGTCCGCTTTGGGTAGAACAAAGAAGCAAGTAAAACGATGTCAAAAAAACGTGAGAAATTTTACCGGGACCATGTTGACCATTTTTTGAAAACCCAGTTTCTGACAATATTCCGGGCCTCAGGTAAACTGTGAAGACGTTTTCCGACAATTTTTCACAATTGTGCCGACATTTTGAGGTAAAATTCTACCAGCTACGTGGAACCAAACACCCACGGCTAAATCTAGACGAAAAGGAACTTCGCATCTACGCGAAGGCCACTTCAGGGTTTAATGCATTCAGCTGACTTTCCTTGATAAACCAGGAGAAAAAGTGTTTTTACAGGTTACAAAAACTGGTTAAAATCTGTGGTCAAAGCCTACCAAATAAGTCCCAAACAGTGAGAGACTATTGGCGGACTTTCAGTGGTGTTTAAACAACTTTACTATGACCCCTTATATTAAAGAGCGGTCTTACCGAATCCTGAGATGAATTTAGTCGCAAAAAACATGAATAAGGTTAGTATTTGTAACCTGTACCCAGGCTGCTTTACTACGCAATGCAACCGCAAGCAAAATCCGATTGGCCAAGATAAAAGGCTGGTTGAGGCCAAAAAACTGACCCCAACGTATGCGCCCCAAACGCAGAACCAATGGGGACCAGGCTGCAGGAGAGTACCTTTCTAGTTTCTCCATGTACTAATTTTTACGCGGGAAAGCCCTATTGTAAAATGCACTATCCAGAAGCAGTGCATATTTTTCCATTCTGGTTCCCTAGATGGAACAGACACATCCCCTTACGAATGAGAACATATGATACCTTCTGAGTTCTCAAGAGGGGACAGTGTCACACCGGCCCTTCTCCGACTTAAAAGTGTTTGCCCGGCTAGCATGGTAGATGCTTACAACGTTCAACAACTTTTTGGCCCAACCTGATTTAATTTATCGGCTAATTTAGCCTTGGGTCGAGATGGCTCGGTGATCAAAGCGCGAAATTCCTGACCGGAAGGTCTGTAGTTCAAACCCCATCCCGGGACCCTGACCGCTCCTATCTAGGCTTGGGAAAATTGGCATCCCTCGTGCTTCCTTTAAGTGGTATGGAAGCTGAGCATCGAAAGGGTGTTATAGCTGAACGGCTACCTAATTTATGCTTGACAAGGCGCGTGGTACCATTTGTTGGAACACAAATTTTAAATTTCGGCTGATAATAACACAGCAGAAGAATAGGATGGGGATACGCACCATAGACCAGTATTTTCTAATGCCGCAATAGTCATATTTTCTTCTGTACAGCCGAAGAATAGGATGAGGATACGCACCATAGATCAGTATTTTTTAATGCCGCAATAGTCATATTTTCTTCTGTTACATATGAGGATTCGCCTTCTTAATAAGTTATCGTGGACAGACTGCCACCCCTTAATGCTCGAGATGGCAGAGCCTCGTACGCAGACTCGCCATGTCGCGTTTGTGTGTGTGAATCACGGATCTGCAAGAATATTGAATATCTGGAGTGCTCACTCAAGATGAAACGATAAAATCTATCCCAGCCCCATGAAAACCATTAAAAGAAGCCATTTAAAAGAATTTCCATTGTCTCAGTGCAGAAAGCATACACTCAGGTCCTTATTGAAAGCTCTGTCACGAGGATGATTGAACAAGTTTCCTTTCCCGAAGCCGAATAGTCGGGTGGACTGCTATTCAAATTGGCCACGTTTTTTACAAATGAAGACGTAGGAAGAATATTTTCACACAGAACATACTACTCATAGGGCTACTGAAAACCCTGCTACTGGTCTCGCTCTTCTTTGGGTTCATCAAGTATGCCTGAGTTTCCACCACCTTAAATTCCACTGCTTTCTCTTCATTTTTTATGCTTTTAAGGCAGTTCTTTCTAAGGAGGTGCCCGATAATATCCCCTTCACGACATGACGAGGGAGTCCACGTTTAAGAAGAACACCTGTTTTCCACATCTTTGTCAGATTAGTTACGAACAACAAGTGTCAGTTCTTCACAAAACACTTGTGTGATCTATCAAGTTCTTGGTTTGACAGCTGCCTGGCATGCGGCATATGGCCATCGCGTTGAGTAGGACAGAAAAGTAGGGAAACAGAAAATGTTTGATGCACTACGATAGGTGGAATTCGTCAATGGGGCGTTTACACTAGACCTGCCACTCTTAATGAGATAAAACTCGAGTGGAGGAACATTTAACATCTACTTCACATCAGAAGATGAAGCATTACGAGGCGCAGATAAAAGCAGGTGGTGATCTGCATAAGGCATTGTTAAGATGTACTTCCTCAAATGCTGTCATTTAGGATGGCAAACTCAGCTGGATTCATTTAAGCCCCCCTTTGGAAGCTAAATTAGTGCACAAATGAAAGTATTTAGCGAATTTCATCCATTTGGGCCTCAGCTGAAGCACAACTTTGATGGACAGTTGAGAGCTGCGCCTGCCTGATAAGCCCCAGGAGGCGCGAAACCGGTAGTAAACCATTAGAGTTTTGAACGTTCTTGTGAGTAGTATGTTACGTTTTGTTCAGACTCAGTTTGTTAGGATCACCATTATGTTCCTGAGCATAAAGACAGAGTATATTTTAAAAGTTCATGACATAAACTGTTTGTTGCAACTGATCCGAATGCGCTCCAGTGGCAGACATATGTTACAGCCGTGCACCGCATCTGTCAAAGAGGCTAAACACACGTACTTGTAAGGTGTAACGGGCTGCGCAATATCTCCTTACAGGCTCCTAAACTCCAAAAATCTGAATCATAGGCTGGCTGGTGACGAGATCCATTTCATCTGCTATCACACCTTGTCTTTCAGTCATATTATCCCCTTGATTAGAATCATCAAATTGAATTTAAGGACAGTGTTCACCAATTAGCAGTGTTGCAAAAATGAATACGGGTTCCAGAAAATTTATCACGTAAGCAACCGGGACCAGCGCAACTTCCGAACCTAGAGAAAGCCTGTGGTGTTTCAGCGACACGTAGAAATGCTCGTCAGAAACTTTCAAAGCAAGAGATTTTTTCCGGTAACTACGTTGCATAGTGCTCAAAGTACATACACCCTTCCGCTTGCCAATCCTGTATTTGACTAGTGTCAAACGGAATAATACTGAGAACATTATAAGACTTAAAAGGCAGTATCAGAGTGGAATATCGGATCATGGTCAGCTTAAATGTTTAAAACATACTGTTTGCTGAATATCCGGTGTGCTATTCCATGGAAGAATACTGTGGAATCCCAAGGTGATCTACGTATGAAAGAGTGGCCTTGATTCCTCTAATATAACTCAAATGTACACTCCCAAACTCGAGCACGACACCCCAAATGTCAACTTATTTGTCCATTTGCAAAGTTCCATATTTTTCAACATCAACGAAGGTCATAACAAGGCCACTTGAGCTCGCCTTACTCATCATCAAGCCAACTAGCGCGATTTATCAGTACAGGATGTGCTGTTCTGCGTTCCAACGCGTCCGCTGGTTTCACTTCCGTTTCTATCTCTCAGTCGTCGTACATAAATGAAAGAGGAGAAAAATATAGTGGTAAGCTGAGCCCGCACGACTTCATGTCATACACCAGAGAGTCTATATTAGGTCGTTCCTATCCTCCCGGTGATACCTTGCTTGACCAACTGATCAGCGTGACACCATGCGTGGGACGATCGACAAGGGAAGCGTAGGTAATCA